CATCAGAGAACTGATTTACAAGTTCAGCATCATCCAACTTGCTTAGAATGCTAGTTCTGTCTTTCAAGTGGATGAGAGCCTTTTTGAAAAACGAACTTGCCGTTTGCCCAAGCGGCAAAAAACTTGGCAGCTTTGCGAAAATCGATAAAATCGATATCAAACAATGACGAAAATTAGCCTAGGACGCCCGCCCCGCCTCGAAGTGTACGAGTGCCAACTTTGGTCCGAATCGATAAAAGTATGAATTTCTATTCGGAACATCCAGAAAAACTTTGAAAAGGACTCAAAAAAGTGTAGAAACTTCATGGAATCTTTGAGAATCGTCGATCAAATATTTAGTCAGTTTCTCAAGTTAACCACTTTATCAATAGACTCTAACAAATTACAGACTTGTTACCGGTTCTTGCTTGAATTTGCTTGAACCATAGAATTTCCCTCATTTATTCTCTAACTTTTTCTGAATTTCAAACATTGATAAGAGTGTCTCTGAAATCAAAGAGCATTTCGGATAGTACCGATAATATTATACAATAACAAGCAGAACCAGCACAACGAGTGCATTAGCGGATAATCGCCACAAAACTAATAAACAAACTCGCAGACATTTTGTAATCAAATGAGTTAGTGGAGGGATTTTACGAATGCACTTTACGTCAAGTCTCACTTGGATCTCCTGAAGATGTATAAGTGAAGTTTTCAGATTGCGCAATAAACTGAAACTTTGCGCTCAGATTGTTTGCTAGGATTCAAACTCAGTGTCCGAACATCAATGGCGACTATCAGTAATTGCTAGAGCGCTCAAGTATGGTACTTTTGAGATATCACACGTGATGCTCAAAAAAATATATATTAATTTTTGATCGTTCAGGAAGCCGTTCGGTCTCCTTGCTACTATCTCGCTTTGTGATATCAAGATGATGACCTCACGCTCAAGGAAGCTTGCATGATTAACATCGCTCGATGCATACCGCATTTCACCAATGGAACATAAATGGTTCATATCTGATGGTTGCTAGGAATTTCTTTCAAAAGCTGAAAATCACGTTATTTCCTCAGGTCAAGAAGTCTACGAAACTTAGATTTTGGAAATCAGCAAAAGAAAGTCTATGCGCAACTAAACGCACAACGAATCAGTACATTGAGCAGGAGTTAGCCGAGCGTGGTTTGCGCATCGCTCTCATCTGATAAATATCGTCATAGCTACGTCCAAAATTGCTCTTGTGCCAGCGCTGTGCCAGCGCTGGCAACGCCTATGTGAGCGAGGGTTTATTGATTGATGGGCTTCGGCGGCGCCAGAACGGCGCTGTCACGGGCAATCCTGCATCAGCCTAAGCTTGAGAGGAACCTTGCTATAAAGCAACAAAGTTGGTTTCCCCTTTTGAAATGTGAAAACAGTATTTGCGACAAATAATGACACGAAACTTATAAGTACTAGACCTCTGTTGGATTCTGAACAACTACTGCGATATTGCCCACATCTCACAGACTAACAATGTCCGAAAGCAGTGCACAACATGATTTTGACAATGTGTCTGCGAATGTCTGCTTTCAATCTAACTATGAGATCTTCTTCAGGCTTTGAACCATTGAATTTGATGTTTCGACACTTCATTCAATATACGCATGAATAGTGACAAAGCGCGTTCTATGGCCATTTTTTGCCCTTAATTTGCAAGCAAGTTGTCGCTATTCGGTGCACAAGCAAAGTACCTACCTACTGTTTAGGGGCACTATCTCAGACAATTGCATCGGAAAGTTCGCGGCCTTAAAGCGTATTACATGGAGCGCCGCGGCCCCCGAAGTTTGAGCTCCGCACGCCGCGGCCCCCGAAGTTTGAGCTCCGCACGCCGCGGCCTATGTATATTTTACCGGGAACGCCGCGGCCAAAGTTGAAACTGGGAAATAATTATCGGGAGGGTCGCGGCCCAACCACCTCACTCGGCGGGCCGCGGGCCTTATCAGAGGCCGCACTCCTTGCACACTGTAGGATAGTGCGCAACCCTCGTGAGGTACGCCGCAGCAATGGGGCTACCCTCAGTGTTCATGAAGTTGGATATCACTGCTTGGATCTGGTCCTGTTCTGACAGAATCGAGCTCTCATGATCATGATAAACTCCAGCAGTCGGTTGAGTGTTATCGACGACACTATGATGTCGACAGATGAGCTAACAAGTTGCGCTCAGTTTGCACTCAGGTCCGTCATTATGAAGGACAGACTAAATAGTAGTTCTTCAATCTTTAGGTCTTACAAGCATGCTAATCGGGTCAACTATAGGCGCCTAACGGGCTCTTACAGGATGCGCCGCGGTCACTTATCGGGTCTAATATATGGGTTTACCGGGCAGCTCGCGGCATGGATGATTGGTGGTCGAACAAGCACCAGCGAACTTCCCGATACAATTGTCTATGATAGCAATACCTAACGTAGATTTACCACAAAGATCGGTTTTTTTTGCCTGCATATTGAAGAGACATCTAACAAAAATGCGTTGATGAACGTCAACATTCGTATTTCCGACTTCCAGCCTAGCATTTATCTTCATTTTCAATTTAAGGTGCAAGTCTTTCCCAAGTTTTTCGATCGTCTCCTGCCACTTGTCGAGTCATTAGCAATAAATACAGATGGGTCCGAAGTCGTATTAATCAAATGCAAATTTGCAGCCTGATTAAGCAGCTTTGTGCGAAAAGTTCCGGATCCGAGTTGTATCATACCCATTTTGGGAACAGCAGACAAGTAAAGTTGATAGTTCCAATCGCAAGTCCAAAAGCTTACACACACGCCTAATAATGAGATGTAATATGATTTCCTTGAATCTATGGTTTGTCACCCAGTAATGTTCCCATAGGGACCGCCACCGTGGCTGTCTTTTAATCGTCTTAGCACGTTGACTCAACATTAGAAATTGACATGCTGAAACAATCGAGAGTCAGCCACGCTAATGAGTCCTATGGGATCATTTCTGGGGGACAGGCGATGAGGAGATATCATATTTGTATTTAGTCAAGTGCAAAAATGGAAAGACAAAACATCAGTGCAGTACAAACGCGAAAACCTGCGCCGTTGTTTCGCTTTCATTTTTTCGGATTCATGGATCATTCTTTTAATTAGCTATAAAACTTCTGTGCTACGTGTACTAGAGCCATTGATATACAGTTGTGACAGTGAAATGTGAAAATTCTCGGCGAATTCGGCGATGTCGGAGATTTCGCCAAAGTCGGCGAAAAACGCAAAATCGCCGACATCGCCGAAGTCGCCGAGAATTTTCACATTCCAAAGTCATAACTGTTTGACTGCATGTATAATGTAAATCTTCAAATTTCCGCTTAAATGGATCATTCAATGTGCTGACAACAATTTTTACATTTTCCACGTACTCTCTTCTTTAAACCTGGGCATGTTGTATCGGATATCGTGTATTGTTCTTCTGCCGACAGCTTTGTGGTGGATCTTTATTGACCTTACGTTTCGACAAATATCGTCTTCTTCGGAGGTCTGAAAAGGAATTGCGGTGATATTATCTGTTAGTCTATACGACCAAACGCCCCATCAGACTTCCGTCGTTTGAACCTCATCTGGGCGCAACGTGCCGAGAAAATCCAAAATGGATTCACCAACCTTTAATCCACCTTGGAGTCAGTAGTCCGCACGGATGTGACGGACATCACTGAGGTTGCTCAGTGAAGGACTATATATACTGTGCGGGTTGAGGTCACATAATGACATAAGAGGCAAGAGATCAGTCGTTATCGTAACGCGCTCATTTTTGTTGTTCATGCTCGGATTTCCGGCGTACCTTATTTTTACATTGTTTTACTGCTGGTGGCACATTTTAGGGAAGAGAATCCGACAAAATACAAGATTTCAAATTGGGGAAAAATTCACAAGAACGTGAGTTTGTAACCTCATAATCTGACGAAAAGTGCAGATAGGGGCCTGTGCTAATCAAAGCCTGCGTTATTTACAAAGATTCTAATTTACAAAAACACGCAACCAAGTTTTCTGATAGACGGGCGAGAAGTGCTAACGAATCTTCAACCTTGCTGGTTCAACTGAATTTTTTTCATTTGAAACTTCACTGTAGATCTTTAGCGCGAAATAACTAGGATTTTCGTAAACAGTGGGTTTGAAAACTACTATGAGTGGAGTTCCGGGTGAATTCAGGATTATCAACATTTCAGCCAAAACCAGTGGCGAGGTCAAGAGCGGAAATCGAGAAAAATCAAATGGCGCCATTTTCTTAAAAAAATTGAGCATAGAGGTTATCCGACCTGCTGATTACAAAAAACACATCTGCTTACAGTGATAGCTTCATTCTGTAGGGTTGACGGTAGCTAAATTTCAGGTAAATTTTGATTCTAACAAAGTTTGCTAGCCATTCTCGCCTTCACTTCAAAAGACACTTTGCACCATGTTTAGCTGGTAAGAAACTCGCGAACCTGTTGTAACGAATAATGTTTATCTTAGCTCTCTATATACATTGAGTATCGGATTGCGCCCTAACAAAATCCCGTTCGCAGAACATAATTGAAGACCTCAGATCAAAACTAAATGACTTTCTACCCATATATTGGCTATATACAATACCACCCACATAACTTGCAAAATTTCCGTGAATGTCGCGAAATTCCGAAAATTCCGCGAAATTCCGGGAATGTCGCGGATATTTCGGAATTTCGCGACATTCACGAAATTTTGCACTTTCTGTGAGCGGTATTGTATAGTAACATCATAAGTGGGCGGAGCTTAAAGTTCATAGCTAAAAAGCGAAAAATCGATTTATTGGAAGTTAGTGAACCATCACATCCTCAAAATTTGATAGAATCGGCATTCTGAGGGCTGTGAAATCCCGAAAATCGACAAAAATCAATAAAGTCGATATCCTGGAGGTTTCGAAATCCCGAAAATTGAAAAAAATCGATATCCCAAAAATTGACAAAATTGATAAAATCGATATTTTGAAGGTTGCGAAATCCCGAAAATCGGTAAGATGAGCGAAAAACTAAGCAAAAAATTCGAAAGACTCTATAATAAGCTCATTTCCAGTACTTTTATACAGCTGAAATTCCTCCAAACAAGCTCCCCCCATCATCCATGTCAACAGCACTGCGGTGGAGCCTGCAAAAAAAACAACAAAGAAAACGGATGAGTTTGCATGTCTAAGGAACTTACTCAATGAAACTTGAAAGCTCGATTTCGCAAACGAGCTTGTGCTAATTGGACCAGCTTCACCTAGCGGATCCTCATCACAAAGCTAAAAAAGTTCAGAATTGCGTTCTTTTCTCAAGTTCCATATGATGTCACTTCTATATACTAGATTGCGTCACATGTTTCGAAAAGCCAGATCGTGTCTAGAATGTGATCTGACTTTGCTGACCTAAAAACCCAAAAATCAAACTTCAAAGGGGTTAAAGGCAGTAGCTCAGCGAATCTTCGACTTTTGGTTTTTCAAAAACCAGCATTTTTAAGCTCCCTCACTTTGAATTTGGACGAGTGGAAAGCTCCCCGCCATGGTTAGAGACGTAGAGACGTTGTGGGGAAATTCAAATTTATAGCATTGCGGCATGCCGCTTCTGACGGCGTGAGGGATTTCGTGAGCTCGTCCGAGCGCGATTACAGTCTGCTCCAATCCCAGCCAAGCCAAAATTGTCATGGCGGGAGACCGCGTCGCTAAGGTTTCGCGGTCACGTCCACGGCACGACCTTGAGATCTGTCCAATAAAACAAGCTCCAGCCTCACATCTGTGATATTCGCAAAGTTATTAGCCACCCGACATGCATGCTCAGGCCATAAAATTGGCTCCATCAAAGTTGCCCCGTAATTCCTCCAAAAATCATGTTAGACACCTCTTTCGCGTCTGAATACGCCATATTTTTTGTAGCCTCCCATATGCAGTTTGAAGTAAGCATGCTCGCACAGGAGAGACTAATAAATTGGTAAAACAATTTTCTCTCTGCTGCTAGCAGGTGACCGCTATAAACCCTGTGTAAATTTTTTCATCCAAATCTTTACGCTGAAGTAATCTGTAAGCTTTTCTACGCCTTCCTATAGTTATGACAATGCCTTACAGTTGTGACAGTGGAACATGAAAATTGTCGGAGGATTCGCCAAAGTCGGCGAAAAACGCAAAATCGCCGACATCGCCGAAATCGCCGAGAATTTCACATTCCAAAGTCATAACTGTAAGGGGTCACTCGTTTCCATCAATACATAGACATAACTGTAGTGGGTGTGTTCTACATGTAGATCGTTTTTTTCCGTTAACCCTGTATGCGAAAGTTTTCATCGTACACTCGTTTCCATCAATACATAGACTCGACTAATGGATACCATTGGTCCAAGAAATTGTTGACCATTTGCTCAATGACATTTACAGCGGACCGATCTCTTCTAAATGACGAGGTTCGGCTATCGTTGGCTTCTTCATACACGAGATCCTCACACAGCATTCTGCAAAGTCTAAATTCTTACAGCCTTTCATTTACTTCGGGGATGTTCAGCAGAAGTCGTTGGAAAGGTCAACTCCAATTGGTTTGTGATATTCTTAGATATAAAGCTGAATGTGTGTCTGTCTGTCTGTCTGTCTGTATGTACGTATGTGCGGAATAGAAATTTTTATTTCTGAACCGATTTGGACCAAACTTGGCACACATACACTTCGGGGCAGGGAGCGTGCCATAGGCTACTTTTCGTTATCAATCGATATCGATTTTATCGATTTTTTGCAAAATTTGAGCTACAGGGCTGGGAGTTGGCACAGGGGGTAATCGAGCATGCTGATTACAAATATGTTATTAACAGGGCCGGGCGGAGCCGGGTTTGCCAACTAGTTTCTGTTAAACTAGTTGGCAAACCCAACTAGTTAAAGATGAATCATTTTGGCTGACGTTTGACATGGACAAAATCCTTCCCATTCTGAACAAATGTGCATCGCCATCCGATGGGACGATTGTGAGTTGCAGTGAAGGAGGTTTTGTTCAGTCACTATAGTTGTGATGAACAGAAATTTACTCCAAATAAATGGATATCGATTAATTGGTTTTTTGGAAATTTTTGAGCGAATGAATATCGGGTAACTAATTTTCGAAAATTTTTCGAGTGAACGAATATCATCCAATTTCTGATTTTTATATTATTCGAATTCTGATATTTACACATACCACCCGCCTGCGGTAGGCCTGAAGCTACCAAGTTATGATACTGAATAGCTGAGTATTCTTTTTTCTTTTCAAATTTTCAAATTTAGGTGACGAATGATAACTGCATTGTCTAGTCCTCTTCGACTTCCGTAGTACTGAGTATCCTCACGTTATGAACGACTATGCACCGTATTCCTGCACTGTGTCATCAGCAACGCATAATAACCACAAATTACATAATTCTAGTGAGTCTACCTGTACCCACCATACCTTTTGAACTGCGGGCAACATTCAAGGAAGCGCCGAGCCGAACTGACTAGAATGGCGCTCTCGGATTCGGATACCTTTCAAAAGTTTACAGTTGAGCAGGTTTTCTGCTCAACAAGCGAAATAATGCGACGAAATTTGAGCGTGAACAATGGCCACAGAAATGCCGGCATTTTGCGTGCGCAGGTCGGCGTTACAGACATATCGTCGATTCGTTGACCACACGGACTGCTCAAACGCTGGGACTACGCGCGGCGCGGGTGAAATGTTGCACGAGCACGATTTGTACAATGGTGAATTTCGTTTTATCTCGCGGCGCGTGCTCCGCAGTGATGTCCAGTCCGTGCGGGCAACGAATCAACGATAGGTATTTGTTCATGGGCAAATCTTACCGCATTCTTTCTGCACCGCAAGCACACTTTAAAGTCTATTCGACTCTACTAAAATGAGTTAGGAGAGAAATAAATTTGACATTTGCTAAACTTTTCATTCTCAACAAATACAGAGTGGAATTACAGGCCGAGTAAAAACAAGGAGAACAGAGACCAAATACTTTTATTGCAAATGCAGTGACGCTAAAGAAAACAACTTCTTTTTGTGGTAAAATCATAATAAAGTGTAGCGAGGTGACCATGAATGTTCTGAAAAGTTTACATAATAATTTTTTCTGTGAAGCTTTTATATGCACGAACTTTCTCATAGAAACTTTTACGATAAGCCAGCTTCTGCGGAGCATAGCATCCAGAGAGGGTCCAACTCTTGAACGTTTTATAAGCTTTGTATAAGTTGACGATACTTTAGTCGCTGCAGTGCATGCGTTTTCAGACTCATTGAAATCTGTTTTTACATTTGATGCGCGCTTACAATTCCTAGACAAATTCAGGACTAACGTTTTTTACTACGTCACAACAAAACTGCACGTTAAAAAAACAGGACTTTTGCACCAACAATGGTTGCTCAAAGAAAGCCCCTTTCAATTAACTGCATGAACAAAGTGGTTTTGGATTATGACATTACGTAGACAGTTTCCTTAAAGGAGTGAAGGGAATGGTATGAGTGAGGAGCAAAGCGGCAAAGAAGCAAGAAGGTGTATGAAAGCACACGTTCTTCTGAATATCAAATGTTGGTTTCAAAACTTATCCTTCTATCATGAATTGTAAATAAAGGTTGTATAACGCAAACTTGGTAGACCAAGTAGTAGACTGTGTTAGCGCTCCACCTAATCTGGAAGTATCATGCCGAAACTGAGGTTATGATTTCCATAAACAAGCTGCAGAATTTGGTTAGATTCAAAATACCTACCCACAAGCTAGTACATGCCTTCCTATATCTTGCCATGACTGGCTCATAAGAATTCATCGTTTATTGAAATGTGTTCCTCTATTCTGCACAATCAAATCACTTTTTTGTTTTCGTGCTATTATCTGGGAATGGGTTTGAGAGATGATCTAATTGGGAAGTCTGCTCCTTGCCATGCCGTGCGCTGTAACATGTACATTGTTTTCGAATTTTTGTTATGAAGAAACTGACAATTACCTTGTGGGGTTCGCTTTATCTTGCAGATTATACCCCCTTTTTGTAGTCTCCTTGCCATGGTAGCATTCGATGCGACAACTTGGAGCCAGTTTGATAGCAATCGGACTCTGAATCAGTGGTATGGAAAAGGTCAAATGCATAGCTTTGCGGTGAATGAGGTAGTTACGCTAACATGTAACATCTTCTTCATTAGGTGAAACATACCGTGCTAAGCAGAATCACATTGTGCTTATATCCATGGTTGCGGCCATAGTTGTCTGTATTCGAAATTGGAAAACTTCACAGCATTCTAAAGCAGATTTATTGACCTTTATGCCATTTCTGCACCAAACCACCGCAAATTTACCTTCTTTTTTGGATAGTTTTTTTTATTTTGAAAATTGCATTAAACACAATCATCAAAGGCGAATGCGTACACTTGAGGTCACTGTTGCAAACCAAACGCTTCTCTCTTGCATTTCAACATGACTCATATGCGTATTAATCTTCAAAGGTTCGGCGCAGCTTCATCACAGTTGCGTAGCGGCGTCGCTGAGCCAAGCAGCCCTCTACCCTCCGAGGGCGGTAAATCAATGCCAAAGTAATCTGGAAGGTCAAAAGCTCTTACCTTCTAATCTGCCTCTCCCTCCCCCACCCCCCCCTCTCCCCCCAAGTCACTAACATAGGCCTGCACGCACTGCATATCCTCTTCAAATACGAAGTAGAGTGCCTTGCGCATGTCCGCAGAGGTATTATCACATTGACGACAGCGCCATCCACCATGTATCATACAATGACTACCACGTGGGTTGATGTGACCCACATGGTAAGTCATGGCTTAGATATTGTTGATATAACTACTATTTTGGCATTCGTTCCAGATGTATTCTCAAGCTCTGAATGGAGAAATTACTTTTACGTTTTTCGGCTGCTTCTGAGAATTACTGTAGACATACTGTAGTTGACAATCTGCGTGATTTTAGCTGTAAAATTTCCTTAGGCATTTCCCCTCAAGGCGGACAACTAAAATATGCACTGTTGCCAACGTGTGGAAGACTCCGAAACTTCTATCCTTTATTCTCAATGTCGCTTTGCTTCTTTTGATATTACAACCTCTTTATTTCTAACATATCGTAAAGAACTTGCAGTTGTTTCCAAGCTGCGTAGAATAATGTTCTTTTCTCGGAGGTGAGCAGGTTGTATCAATATAAAACGGCGTTCAAGCAATGTTATAGCCTTCAATCTATGAAAAGTTAGGTTAAAAGACACTCGCTTCAAAGAAATATAATTACATACAAGAGTAACTTTAGCCAATCTTGAGTAAGAATAAGAACAAGTACTGTAGACTGGCTTTCACTTAGCAGATAACTCAAGACTCGGAAATGATTATCTTGTCTTGTCTACACTTGCAAGAAGCTGTCACCTTTCAGTTATTTGTTAGGTACATTCATACACTTTCAAACAACAGGTTCATTCAACATATTACTTCACTAATTCTGAATAAAGATCACAAACGATTAAAAGTACCAGGAGGAATTCCGCAGAGGTATCGGCATTTCCTTCCATAGTTCGATATATCCTCGCCTCCATTTCTGTAGTGTTGGAAGCATCCCGCAAGACACTGCAAAGTTGTCGTTACATACAATAAGCCCAACACTTTGAATTCAAACTCGTACATATTGATCGCTTGGATCTGCTTGATACACTTCAACTGAACTACCAAAAGGGCAAATTATTGCCAACACAAAGCAGAACATCGTTGCCGCAAGCATTGTTGAGGTTCTAAAAAATATTATGGGTGTCTGAACATGAACAAATGACATCACGCAAGTTCAAAAGCTTCTTCATATGCAAATGATAGTAAGGTAAGCGCCAGACTAACCGATTGACTGCTTCAACCCCGACACGGCGCATTTACCCTATTTTCAGGTGTATAAGCCGCACCCTTTTTGCTCTAAACGCGAGCAGAACCAGGCGTGCCGCCGCGCATATGTCTCGCGAAGCGGCCGCCTTATCGCATACTGCTCTCACTTAACGCGCTCCATAATGACAGTCAGTCTTTTGGCGTGTTCGCCTTTAGAGCGAAAAGGGTGCGGCTTATACACCTGAAAATAGGGTACTGTTATTTGATGTCACGTTGTAGAGAAATCAAGTTGGCGTGCGCGATTTCGCTGCACCATTCCGCGAGCCTTTTTATTATCTCTTCAAAACTACTGTATCGCAAGCATCGCAGAAGCCACTTCGATTTCCGTTCAACATTACGCTAGATGACAACTTATTGTTTACGCAGCGACCTCCGGATTCGGACAATCGCTTTGTCTGGCGTCTACTCAAGAGCACTGTTAAGTAGCATTGCTTTTGTACAAAATCTGAGTTTTAAAATTGCCGCAGCTTCGAAGTCTGAGGCAATTTGCAAATTCTTGTCGCTCACGGAAAAACACTCACAGTAAGACGATATTTACGAAAATCCTTGTATACATACTATACAATGCATCTTGAGCAGTTAAATATGCGATGCACATTTCTACTTTTCTTCTGTGCCAGTATTAGTGAAGAACTTTAAAGACGAAATCAACTTTTTAAAAGTAAGCATTTCATTCCCTTTTTAGAAGGTTGAACTCGGCTTCAAGTCGCTCATTCTGGGCATTATGCTTTGAGGTTAGTGATAATACAAGTAATAATTTTTGTTGCATTATACTTGAGTCCGGATCGAATAAAAACTCGTTCATTGTAACGAAGCATTTGAGTATATAGGGTTTTCCAAAAGTAAGTACAAATTTTCTAATCGTTAATAACTCTTTTCCCACGAGGTCTTTTGCTCAACTTCAAGCACCATTCAGTAGAGCAGTCTTTAACTTACTGCTGAGCGAATTACCCACGGCTCCTCATTACTATAGGATTATGGTAGGAACTTTGAAGAAGGTTTTGAACTGTCGATGGCTTCATTTTGCTATGAAATGTATAATCAAAAAGCTGAAAGTTTTATCATTAGGCTCAAGTGATTCGCTGATTATGGATATGAAATTCGCATTTCACCGCAGGATTTGAGCTGTTATGACAAAAAACCGCTACAATGTTTCTTTTACTGTTTTCAGAAAAGTGGTTCAAAAAGTTGAAACGCTTCGAAACTCGTCAAAAGTTGTTTCATAAAAACAGCATGTCTGTAAATACTGCGACACAAGTTTTCGGTTTTTTGGAACTTTTTTTTTTCAAACACGCTTTTCACAACGTCACCATATGCCGGAAATTCCTATCATAATATTGCAGTTATTAAAAATGCCTGCTAAGTCTGTTCTACTGAATGGTACTCGAAGCTAAGAAGGGATTGGTCAGAGGTCGAAGTGGCCAAACCAAACGGGGGTGGTGCAGGAGGAACCAAAGGGCTGCCGCCTGTATCCGCAGGAGATAATTAAGAAAGCGAGCGCTGTGCATAATATTTTGGCAAGGATCCAAGAAAATTTGGCAAGGATATCCCTTAGGAACAAATCTTCATAACTTTGCCTGGAGATAACCTTAAAAAATTTGAAAAACAGATTTTGAATGCAAATTGGAAGGCGCATTTACTGGGCCTAAAAGTAAGTGAATATTCGGGATTTTAGTGGTAAGATAAATCAAATAATATATTCTAATAGAAACTTTTTGTTTATATGAATTTTGAAGTTACAGATTTGAAGACCGGGATTTTCATTCAAAATTCATTCTTTCTTCTTTGAGAAAGGAATAGTTTGCCTTTTGAGTCAATGAACAGAGCAGGCAAAATGTCATGAAAACAGTGCCAAGTTGCCATATGAGTTTGTCTCATAACTTCAGACGCTATCCTAATTCTAAAGTTTGACATCAAAGATTTCGTAGGACTCGCCATAAAAACTATGTCGGTAATCCCCTCGAGGTTGTACACAATAGAAAAAGTTTATCACATGCAACAATTAGTTAACATTATTTCCGATTACCACCTCTACTTTCAACTTCCAATCCAGAAATTTCACTAATAAATTTACTTAAAATCTACCACACAGCATTGAACTTGAATCTTCAGCTTTTAGTGGTGGATTTTGAAGGCTCAGCTTTTTGGTTAAGAGTAAAACTCGAGAAGTGAGACAGAGTAATTTATCATTCGGTAGGCGTATTACTGAAAAATGCGCATTTCAATACCGATTTCAATTCTGTCCTTTGTGTCCTTGAAAGTTAATTCCAAGAATAGTTATAAGAGTTCATTTCTAATGGATGTTGTCGCCAAGTTTTCCTGGATCCTCGCCAAAATCTACCCCACAGCGCTCGCGCTCCTAATTATCTCCTACGGCTACAGGCGGCAGCCCTTTGGTTCCTCCTGCACCGCATCCAAACCAAACAAGCTGTATACCATTCGATGCAGCATGAAACGTTGACTTCGAATCTTTCTTCCTTATCTGCTTATCGCTTCGGTGGATGAAGCTACAAGCAATTTTATTGTGGAAAAATCGTACACAAAACTGTGAAGTTGAGCACATTGTTGCAATTTCAGCTCAGCTTCAGGCCTTGAGAACTTGAAGTGAGTTAGCGCATGTTTCGGCCGAGCATTAGGTCGAACGTGGCTCTGTACGGCCAAATTTTCACTTTCACGCATAATTTCTTGGCAAGATATTAGCGTTCAATGGCTTATAGCATCGTCCAGATAAGCGATAAGCAAATAAAAAAGACAGATTTGGAGTCAGCGCTTCATGCTGCATCTAACGGTATGCAGCTTGTCTGAATTAGCCGCTTCGATATCTGACCATTCCCTTGGAGGCAAGAGAGTTTTGTGGAACGAGAGTTATTATCGAAATAGTGTGCTTTTACTTTTGGGATACCCTTTATGTGCATTCGAAATTCTGAACTCAGGATTTTCCATTTTCGAATAACATTCCAAGACTTGAATAATCAAGAAACGGAGTTTCCGATGGATTTTATTCGACTGTTTTAGTCGAACGTTGGATCATTCGAGTTTGGTGCAGAGCCAACTGCTAGATTATCAAGCTCGCTTAATCTGCTTTCTCTGCAAAACTCGATACATATTTTCAAAGCCGTGATCTGCTTTGACCAATATGGAAATTCGCATTCCTCGCATTCCGGCAATACTTGGAAAATAGAGTTTTTAAATCATGTAGAAAGTAGATCAACGATTTTGTTTCACATCGTCGATTATAATAAGAAAAAAATTTATGTTATTCTTATGTACATCAACAACTTTGCGACGATCTGAAAGAAGAGTTCTCTGAACACAGCATAAAAATTCAAACCAATTGCTTTCTCTTTGGAGAAGAAGCAAATTATGGCTTTTTGCCGACGTACAGACTAGTTGCCAACCGATCAACTTTATCAACTATTTGAAAACTTTGGACGGGTTCGGGAGATGGTGCGGGAGGAGGTGAGGGCGCTGATTATGACTAGAAACTATTTATTAAGTTTATTCGATGTTTGTAAATGTTTGAGCTATGGAACTGGAAGACGTAGGTGGGTGAGGGTTTTGATTATAAATGAATTGGCTTCAGCCGAGTACGTCGGCAAATTCTAGATAAGCTTGCTCTACATCTTTAATAAATCATTTGAGTATCTATTCGAATTTCGACTCTCAATGTTCAAATTCATCGATATTCATTCATTCGCTAATTTTGACTTTCGAATTTTATTCAGGATTCATTCAGATGAAAATTTCAAAATAATATATTTCATAGTCGTTTATTCGAATTTTTGAATTTATTCAATATTCATCCACTTGATGAAAAAATTTCGAATTTTCCCAACTATAGCCTGCATACGGCTCAGCTGTGCCAGAATGACAGGGGAACGAATTTTGAACAGGATTGAACAAGAAGTCGAACACAAGTCCTTAGAAAATGACCCCTCCGCCCAAAAACCCAGACCCCTTCCTCCTACTCTTACATCCGGAACCTCAAATGTTCTGGAGGAAATTATCCTGCCCTAATAAGCTTTGTATTTTTGAAGTTTTTACGTCTGACTTTCTTTGACTGCACTCTCACTAGTCAGCATCGTAATGCACACATGTTTCAACGGCAAAACTTTATCTGAAGGTCTATTGAAAGTGCCACAATTTTTCAGGGGGGGGGGGGTGTTGGATCCAAAATTTTAATGTGGCATGATAAGGCTATAAGCTAAATACTCATGAAAGAATAGCGAATTTTGGGTTTGAGGATAAGTCAAGATTGTTAGGCACAAAGCTACCAAAGCAAGGCAACCTGATTTTTCAATGGTTGTGCCTGACCCCATTTGCTTCATTCCCGACGAGATTCACTTAAGTTTTACGTTCACTCAACTTTGGAAATATTTCGACAAAGGAAAGTCATAATGAAAAAGAGGCAACAGAAAAGGAACAAGTGATTGTAGTCGAGTGGAAGAAATCGGGTGACAACACAAAGCGGCTGTCTTCCCATTCTTGCGGAAGATAAAAAGAGAGGGAGATCTGACAAAAAAAATGGATGTGCGCCTGAGAGCCGATTACAAAAGAATTTTGTTGATAACTTAGTTTTTTGAAGCTTAAAAAGTGATAGTCATGAGTTTTCTCACAAATGCATCGAAATTTTTTGAAACTAGAGTTTTGAACATCGTTTTCGGAT